TGGCTGCCAGCATTCCTTGGCTGTGGCTTCGTCACTACATCTTTAAGATCAGCATTTTCAAATTTCTTTCTGTTTCATCTCCACAGTGCCTTCTCTTCTGTGTAAGCAAAATCGCCCTCTGCCACTCTCATAAGGATGCATGTGATTGCAGTTAAGGCCCACACATAATCCAGGATTATCTCCCCATCTCAAAATCCTTAATCTCATCTACAAAGACCCTTTTCCCAAACACCATCATATTTATAGGTTCCAGGGAGGACAACCTGATGTCTTTGGGAGCCATTACTCAGCTTAGTATTGCCAAAACAACAGAGCAGGCAGCAGTGATTGCAGGAAGTCTCACACGTCTCTACTTGCTGCAAACATCTGTGCTATTTCTGCATAATGCCTGCAGTTACATAGGTGGTATTATTGCAATATACAGCACATGTACTCAAACATTTTAGATTCAAATTAAAATCTGAGCTGCACAACAGCCTCCAGAATGGAATGACTGTGTAACTTGGGGAATGTCTACATTATCCATTATGTGGGGGCAGGAGGCAGGGGCTAACGCCTAGTCTCTCCTGTGTAATTGGCCTTAGCTCTGCCAATTACTCTATCCTTATTGTCAAACACAATCTATGGGAGGAAACCCAAGAGGGAATTAGCTTATGTGGGAGAGGCTACTTTGGGTAATAGGAATGTACCCTGCAGCTTTTCATTCAGTTTAGGTTCACTGATGGGTCAAGCTGGGTATTGGCAGAAAATTTGGAACTGGACCCTTGGGTTTATTACCATTTTCTTTACCACTCTAATGCTGCACACCATCCCCTACGCTCCTTGGGTTTCTAGGTTAGAAACACTTCTTGAGGTGGGGCCGGCCCTACACATGGTTTATTTCTGCTTCTTGCCTATAGACTGGGCATCAAGTCTGCTGGGAACCCATCCTACAGGACCCTCCTAAGGTAGAGAACTCCATCTCCACAGGGTTGAGTTAAATTTTCACACATATGAACAGATGGAATTAGTCATACTTGAGCAGTTTTCAAAATTATGCTTTCATGCATTTGAACACTGTCATCTCTTGATTTATTCTCCGGTAATATTAATAAATCTTAAATTCTTAGGACAATGCAGGGCTGAGATTGGGTTAAGGCAAGTGACACATTTGCCTCGGATGTAAAATTTAAGGGGGTGCCAAAAAACTCAGTAACGAAAACAACATTTTAACGCAGTATATTAAAAATATCAAATCAAAATCAAAGCAGCAAACCACGGCTCACAGGTTGACTATTTCTGTAAATGAAATTTTATTAAAACCAGTGAGACAGCCAGCGGGGAGGAGGTCCCTGGAAAAACTCCAACTGGCCTGTGCACTGGGGTGGAGCCGCAGCAGTTTGTGCCACTTGCAGCGAGGAAGAGCCTGGCCCCTCCTCTTCCTGTGTGGAACCTGGGATTTGAGCTGCGGGCTGGAGGCGTGCTAGATGAATTCTGGCCTTGCTCAGAGCCCCTGTTTCCCCCCTTTTTTCCTTTTCACCCAATAAAGCCCCGCCTTCAAACCATCTGCGAGCTTGAATTTTCATGGCTGTGGGATGGACAAGGACCCCATCTTTAACTGAACTTTAGGAAAATTCCTGCAACACCAGGTCCAGGATAAGGGTGGGCCAAGTGTGGCATAGTCATGCAAGTGTTAGTTGGATCTTGTCTTTAAAATACTGATATTTTGTTCATTAAGAAATTTGTGCATTACGTGATTTTAATAATTTTAACATAACTTTAATTTTTAAACTGAATTCTTAAAAATTAAAAAAATACTTTTTTTTCAAGACAATTATTACGATTTGATATGGAGCAAAAGTGTTTCATGTATTTTTTCCCAATCTGTCACAGAGAATGTTAAAAAGACACACTCAAGAATCACAATTTTAAGAAATTCATAATTTTTACTGCCTCATCAAAGATATTGTTGGGTGAAATAGACATTTTGCTTTACTCTGAGTAGACAATGGCCAACAGTTTTATCTGCTGTTACTTTTTTACCATCAATGCAAATGTCAAAGCAGTGAAAAGGCAAATAACATCTTAGAATTAGAATGAAAATGATTTTAACCCGAAAGACCCCTTGAAAGGGTCTTAGGAGACCCCAAGGACTATGGGCCAGATTGTGAATTGCTGCCTTAAAGGTTAAAGCTTTCACAATATATCAAAAGCGTTGTCAGTCACAAGATAAGATCCTCAGTCAGATGGGGGCAACATAATTATAACTAATCTCAAAATTAATTTTGGAAAAATCAGTGAAGAGTTGAGCAAATTGACTATCATATAAATAGTTTTGAGCAATCAGGAGATCTTTGAGGCTAAAGATAAGATGTGAAAGAATCTGAATGCCATGGATATAATCCATGACCTGAAGGCATGGCCATTTTAGGGCAGCAAAGTGGAGAAAGAGCACCCCATCCATCACTTACCTTCCATTCCTTGCCCCCACTGCCTCCTGGGTAATGAGGGAGCAGAGAGTACTAGAGCAGCAGCAGCAGCAGGAAGAGTGAGGCAAACGAAAGGAGAGCACAGGGCATCCGAAGGCTGCTCCAAGACCTTGGGGCCGGTTGGCCTGGTGTGGAAGCTCTCCTGCCATTTCCTAGCACACAACCTTGGTTGAATTCCCAAAGCACTGTCTGGCTGAGTCTCCTCCACCATAAGTAATATGGATTAATATAAATACCTTCCTCATACAATTGTTGTAAGGAGTACACGAGATGATGTAGTTAAGGCACTGAGCACAGAAACTGAGACAATAAGTATGCAGTAAATGCATAAGCAGAAGGAACACACTTCTGTGGTCGTTCACTGCCCAGTGTTCAGTAATTTTTCCCTACATGCATCAACGCTTAGCCCAGGGCCTTCTCAGAGTTAGGTGTTCAGGAAGGGAAGCCTGTCTGGGCCTGTCACTTCTTCTGTGCTGCACTGAGAGTCATGACTCAACGACAATTCATGCAGAAATCTGATGTTTAGGCTGGGCACACTGGCTCACACCTGTAATCCCAGCACTTTGGGAGGCCGAGGCAGGCGGATCACCTGAGGTCAAGGAGTTCGAAACCAGCCTGGTCAACATGGCGAAACCCTGTCTCTACTAAAAATACAAAAATCAGCCGGGCGTGGTGGTAGGTGCTTGTAATCCCAACTACTCGGGAGGCTGAGACACGAGAATCACTTGAACCCCACGGGCAGAGGTTGCAGTGAGCTGAGATTGTGCCACTGCACTGCAGCCTGGGCAACAGAGCAAGACTCCCTCAAAAAAAAAAAAAAAAAAAAAAAAGGAAATCTGATGCTTCAATATGAAAAAATAGACATAAATGTGCAAATTATTACATAAAAATATAAATGTTTGTAACAGAATTGTTTTATATTTTCTTAAAATCATTTTTATTGGTATTGAAAACACATTGAAAAACAAAGGAATCAGGCTTAAAAGTGACACTAGCAAAACATTTAACACACCAACAGAAAAATATACCAACCCTGCTTTTTGCTAGTAGGTCTCTGTGGTAGAGAGAATAATGCCTCCCATTCCACCCCAAGATGTCCACATCTTGATTTCCAGAACCTGTGAATGTGTTACTTTATATGGCAAAAGAACTTTACTGATGTGATTATGTTAAGGACCTTGAGATGGGGACATAATCCTGGTGAGTCCAGTGTAACCTTTAACAGAGGTCCTTAATGCCTGGTGAGCCCAATGTAACCACAGAGGTCCTGAATGGAAGATAGAGGCAGATGTTAGGGAAAGATGTGACTTCAGAAGAAAGGCACAGAGAGATGCCACATTCCTGGCTTTAGAGACAGAGGAAGGGGCCATATGCCACGGAATGTGGACAGACTCTGAAAGCTGGAAAGGGCCAGGAAACAGACTCTCCCCTAGAGCCTCCAGAAAGGAACGCAGCCCTGCCAACACCTTGATTTTGGCCCAGTGACACCCATGACGGACTTCTGAAATACAGAATAATAAGATGATAAACTCATGTTGTTTAAGCCACTACACTTGTGGTGACTTGTTACAGCAGCAAACAGAAAACTAATACAGTCCCAAAGCTTATCCAAATCACCTGTGGCATACTTCAGTGCACAACAAAGAAGTAGCTAGGTCACCAGGGTGGGGACTAACAACTCCTACAGCTTTACTAAGCTCCCCAGTGCAGCTTTTGGCCATTGAAATGCCACAAAATAAGAGATTTCTCATATACAACCACCCCTACCCATAAGGATTCGGATTCAAGAGTTCTGAAGTGTGAGAATATCCATGTTTAACAATTCCTGTTGGTGACATGCTTAGACATGGTCAGTGGTCCACACGTTCACACACATTCATTTCTCTTTTTTTATTTTTTAGAGACAGAGTCTCGCTCTGTCACCCAGGCTGGAGTGCAGTGGTGCGACCTCAGCTCACTGCAACCTCTGCTCTCAGGTTCAGAAATTCTCGTGCCTCAGCCTCCTGAGTAGCTGGGATTACAGAAGTGCGTGACCATGCCCAGCTAATTTTTGTACTTTTAGTAGAGACCGGGTTTCTCCATGTTAGCCAGGTGGGTCTCAAACTCCTGACCTCAAGTGAGCCATCCATCTCGGCCTCTCAAAGTGATGAAATTACAGGCGTGAGCCACCACACCCAGCAGAAACATTCATCTCTATATGTAAGGTGCTTACAATTTAGGGGCTGAGTAAATATAATTCCAATCCCTAACAGAAAAATATATATGCATTATTTTAAAGACAAGTCAACAGCCAGGGACAAGAGTAAAGGTCTAGAAATGTCCTAGAACACATAAATTCTTTTGTATGCTTATGTCAACAAAAACAAGATACAGAATTAAACCAGATGAGAACTCCGTCTGCTCTCCCCTGTGCAACTGGTGCTTCAGGGGCAGGGGGCAGGTGAAATGGAATCCTGGCAGCCCTACAGACCTCCCACTGAAAAGCATCCCTGCTGAGCACATAACCAAGCCAGGCCCTTCCTACCCCCTCACCTGTCTCAGCTGTTTCCTGATGAGGTGGAGATGTGCTGGCCCAGGGCGTGTCGTCTTCAAACTGAACCCAGCTGCTGATGGCCGAGGCCAGGTCAGGTGGGGGCTGCTCAGGGCTCCCAGGTGGGGAAGCTGCTTCAGAGATGAGGCCCATCTTTTCAGAGGAGTCATCCTGCTCCAAGTGGGAATGGTCTTGAGAGCCTCCATCCACCACATGGTTCTCCCCAGAGGAGCTCTCAGACTGGTCTGGGGAAGATGACAGTCCTGGGAGGTGCTCTTCCGTGCCCCCTGAAACAGATACCAGACACCACCATCATGTGAGGAAGGCCGCTCTTCAGAGCCATCTCATGGAGGCAAAAACTAAAGATAGCCATGGGGTGCCAGCGTGACTCGCCACTGCAGTGAGTGGGGAGAAGAAAGAGCCACACCCATCTGACTCTATGTGAAACGACTGTTTCCCCAGTCATGTGTAAATGCTGTAAGCTCAGCATGTCTCCAGTCAGTACCCTGGCAGGCAGAGACTAGGAGCCTTCTTCACTATTCTTATCCCAGCATCTACTCCAGTGCTTGGGGGTCACAAAGGAAAGTGCTTACAGAGGTCAAGTAAGAAATATACCTGCATCAAGTGGGACAAGTGAAAGGCAAAAGGGACTGGTGGAGACTGTGGCTAAACAGGAGCACTTTTGTCAGAAGACATTCAAAGTCAAATTTCAAACTCTTTGCAGTCTACGCTATACACAGCCACAGGACACCAGGTGCAAACCCGTGTGCACTAATGACTAGCTGAATGTAACCTAGAGGCTATTCCTGTAGCCCTGTATCACTTGATTGGCCCTAGAAAATTTAACAGACTTCAAATTATTTTTTTGAAAATTAAAAAAACTGGCCAGGTGTGGTGGCTCAAACCTGTAATCCCAACACTTTGGGAAGCCGAAGTGAGTGGATCACCTGAGGTCAGCGGTTCGAGACCAGCCTGACCAACACGGCAAAACCCCGTCTCTACTAAAAATACAAAATTAGCTGGGCGCGGTGGCACATGCCTGTAATTCCAGCTACTTGGGAAGTTGAGGCAGGAGAGTCACTTGAACCCGGGAGACAGAGGTTGCAGTGAGCCGAGATTGCGCTACTGGACTCCAGCTTGGGCAACAAGAGCGAAACTCCGTCTCAAAACAACAACAACAACAACAACAAACTATATCCTGATTATGGTGGTAGATATACAAATCTATACATATGCTGAAATTCATCAGCTGTACAACAAAAGAAGTCAATTTTTCTTTAGAAATTTTTTAATCGAATAATTAATATAAAAATCTTTTCTCCCATCACTAGCCAACTGGTCCATCTGCAAGTACTCAAAGCCTCTACAGCTCTGTCAAACAGAAATAAAATGTGAGCTATATATGTAATTTTAAATTTTCTAGTAGCCACATGAAAAAAATTAACCACAACAGAAGAAAGTATTTTAATAATATACCTTTCAACCCAATATGTTGAAAATTTGTAATTTCAACATGTAATAAATATAAAATTAATTAGCAATTTAATTTTTTTATTAAACTAGGTCTTTGAAATTTAGTGTAGGTATTTGATGCTTACAGTACATCCCAATTCAGACCTGTCACATTTCAGGAGCTCAATAATCACAAGGCCACCATATTGGAGAGCATACCTGTTGACTCACACTTCCTAGGTGTTATAAATGAAGGTGGGATGACTTCAGTAGGCACTGGTAGCTGCAGTAGAACAGAATCAACTGACAAGTCTCTGCAAATATCTCCTGGATCCTACCTTAACCTTCATCCCTGAGCACAAGTTCTCTAAAGTCAATACAGTCATCCTCCTTATGATCAAGTATGACTGTACTGAGCTCTTTCCACATGCCAGGCACTGCTCTAAGCACTTTTATGTATGAATTCACTTAAGCCTCACAACAACCTGTGAGATAGGTACTGATTATTCCTACTGTACAGATAATGAAACTATGCTTGGAGAGGTTAAATAAATAATCTACCCAAAAGCATATCATTCATTCCTGGTGCAACAGGGCTTTGAACCCAAGCACTCCGGTTCCAGAGCTGTCATTTTTAACAGCTACTTTTAACAACTACATTTTAAAAAGGCTGAAAGTAAAGCACTTGGTAAATATTAGGTTTTTGTTTCTTGGGAGAAAAGAGCCAATACTTTTGGTGTTTCCAAGCTTCTTTTTAGGGCCCTAAGGTTCCAAGACGCTTCTTCAGTGTGTAAATTCTCCCACTTAGGATTCTAAGATCTCAAGAAAGAAAGTAAGAAACTGACTCTTTTTTCTACATTAAGATCCCACCCAAAGAATAATCAAGTAGAAGCCATAACAAATAGACATGGCTGACAATCTCTTCGCTTCAGGAAATGAAGGCACTCCTTACCCTGCGAGTGGGCAGGAAAGGGTGGCTCTTCATTGAAGGAGACCCATTCTGACTGGTGGGTGGCAATCACATGGTCCAAAGTCGTCATGCTAAAAAGGCACTGGTCATCTTCACACTGCTGACCTCAGGTGAACCCCAGAATACTGTCTGGGGTGGGCTGGGGTAGGGGTACGGCAGTACGGTAGACTTGGGTCCAGGGTCTGTTCTAGGTGTCTTGCCGAGGGCAGTACTCAGAATGTAGACAGATCAGCCCCTCTTGCCGTTGGTTAATCTGCCAGGCAGAAATCTGTTTAACAAACAAACAAACAAAAAATGTAAAAGAATAACCATCACGTTATACTGAATCCACATAGGTCTAGGGCTTTTAGCGCTGCCCACAAGGCAGCCTGGGGTGGTTTCCAACTTGCCTTACTTCACTCTGTTCCTGTCATGCCCTCAACTTTTATATTGAAATGTCTGTCTTTAGCATCAAGGTTTCTAGGTAAGTCTTCATATCACACTTGTAAATAATTACACAAATTTCAGCAATTAGATTCTCTAATTTCCCTAATTATTGTATTTTAGAAATATTGTTATCTATAATACTATCATTGCAAAACAAATATTAAAACTTTTCAAAACGCTTTCACTTTCTTTCACCAGCTGGCAAAATAAAAGCATGTTCTTTTTCTATTAAATTAGTCCAGTCTCTTGCCTTAGGCAGGTAACTCTTTGTAAGTCTGATTTAAATCTTTGGCAGAAATGGTACCTCCAAGCATCATTTATCAATCAAGAAAAATAGAAATGAAGTGATCTTATTCATTTGTAGTAAGAGGATAGGGAATATCTGTTCTAGTGAAAAATGTGAGTTAGAGAAACATTTTCAAACTAGGCCTATTTAAATTAGTTACAATGGTCTAGCCTTTGCTCACACCACAATTATCTTCCAGGAATATAGAAAGATTCTTAATTGACATAATTTTGTTTATGATAATAACATCTTCTTACAACTTGAACCTAGTTCTTGATCTAATAATGAATTAATAAAATCTGAATTTACCCAAAACGAATGTGCTTCCACAAAAGAGCTACTATATACCTTGAATATCAGTTCCTATTAACTGAATATACACAATATTCAGATAGTTTCTAGAACAACTTAACTCACAGCCTTCCAACTGGTGCACAATGAAAACTTTAGGAAATTTTACTGTAGGTTATCATCTGCAGTAAATAATCTCTACATGGGAAAATCAGTAGAAACATTAATAGCTTTTGCTTTTTTTGTTATTTAAAATAATTAGTTTTGGCACACGATGCTTTCTAAAAACCACTAATGTTTATATAGAATTTATAATTTTCAGAAACACATTTTCATACCATACTTCACTTGATTCAATAGCCATTTTGTTGAGTAGGACACGTAGTACTCTAATTCTTCTATGGATAAAAAAATTTGGGCTAAGAAAAATTAAGTGACTTACCTAACACTTTTAGTGTTTCCAGGCCCTTTTGGTACTCTAAAGTTCTTAAAATGCTTCCTCTAGGCTCCTAAGTGGAAGAGCTTACAAATCTCAGCACAGTGGCTAACTGACTTTTTTTCATAATAAGGTCTCACCCAAAGAATAATCAAGCTGAAGCCATGTGTGTTCGATGTTCCCTGTGTAAGGTCACTCCTATCACTCCAAGAAGTGATAGATCCAACCCTTGAGTCCAGGTCTTCTGCAGCCAAAACACTCTAACCCTGGGGTCACAGCCACAAAAAGGTACAACAGAATACAGTATCCATAGGCTATCACCCAACTTAAGTACTTTACAAATATCAATTACAATGGAACTGTAATGAAATGTCCGGGAAACTCCCCGTGTGAAAGTTTGCCAGCACACCCCAAGCTATATAAAGGATGGAAAGTGCAGAAGCCTCTTCTCCAAGTCCCTCTCCTAAGATCCTTGCCAACCACAAGGCCAGACATATGCAGACAGCCTGGAGAGAGCAGGTCTCCCAAACCAGATCTTACCAGAGAGCAGCACAGGGTCCACAAGCACAAAGAGCTGATTCCCACTGGCTTCTGCCTATGATGCCTTTCTCAAGCCCTGTCAAATGTGTGTCAATGTGGTAATGGCTGCGGGCCAAGATAAGGCAGTAAAATTGAAGAGTCAGATTCCTCCTCTTTCAACGACAGCAGCATGTAAACCAGCCCCACTGCAGCCTCAAAAAAAAAACCACACACACACACACACACACACACACACACACACACAAAACAAGTCCCTATGCTGACACATGCAGTGTCATCACTCAACAGGGAAAACATCCTGCCGATCCTGTGATGACGAACCCAGCAAACGTCATGGATAAGTGGGGTAGGGAAGCAAATAGGGGAGGAAGGTGAAGGTAAGGGGAAAATATTTAAAATTTTTAAACTGGAAGGTTTTAAAGATCAACAATTTCAGGTGTTATGAGAAAATTGAGGCCCAAGGAAATCAGGTGCACCAATAGGGATTGTGATCATGGGCCCAGAGTTAGGTTGTTTGGATTTGAGTCCTATATAGTCTTGGAGTCCTTTACAGTCTTGGACTCATAACTCAACCTCTTTAAGCTTCAGTTTACCCTTGTACAGCAAGAATTCAAAAACTCACTCCATAATTCTGAGGATTAAATGAGATAATGTACGCCAAGTACTCAGGACTGGATGTAATAAACCCTCTATAACAATGACAATGAAAACAGTAGGTGACCTTACAAGAGGGCTTACTGGGCCCCAGGCTCCATTCCAAACCCTTTATGAATGTTAGCTACCGCCAGCACTGCTGCTGTTGTTAAATGACTCGCCCAAGGTTGCATAACTTGTTCGTAGAAGTCCTGGGACTAGAATGCAGATTTCATGAAACCACTCCATTTCTGTCATGTGCAGATTCTGGTTTCAGTCATTGTTCAAGAAGTTCTAGATACTAAGTAGAGTCACTTGCTCAGCTACAGTGCCCAGAAGGCAGATTCTAAATCCTCTTCATTATAGATATAGGTGCACTCTGGCCAAGGAACCAAGACCATTCCTCAGAATGTATGAACGAAAAAAGAGCCCCAAAACTTTATCTGTCTTTCCTTCACATGTCCCAGACCAGACATGGGCTGGTGACAGACAATGACTGGTCCCAATGAAGACTGGTGGAAAAAATTGATCACATGGAACCCCCTATCATATTCTATACTATAAATCCATAAAATGGATTTTAGGTATTTGCCATAGAAGAGCCACACCAATAAGCCATAAGAAATTAGACCTTGAAAAGTGCTGTGCTAGCAGCTGGAAACCCACAGAAGAACACAATAATTGTGAGGTTAAGTTCATACTGGAATTAGTTTCTTGGTAAAAACCTCACCCCATTTTTAGAATGTGAATCATAAAATGAGGTTTAGAATCACCACAAATGAGTGGTGACTCAGTATCAGCAGGAGGATTGACCAACAGATGTTAAAAGTTTCAATGAAGTCTTGGAGTTGCCATTTCAGAGAGCTACTTCTTTCTCAGCATTGCTTATATACAAAAACTTGTAGAAGGGAGAATGCAATTGTCTGATAAGATGGGGGTCACAGAAGTAGTTTTGTCTTATGACAGTCCTCTAATTGCTTTTGTGAGACCTACATGTCTGGAAATGTACCAGTTACCCTTGAGACAGCAACCCTCAAGCAGCTCCCAACACAGCTGAGGAAAAAAGGATCCAGAGAACAGAAAATACAAGTCCAGAATAACTGCCCCAGCTAAAGGACATGCTGGGAGCGCCACAATTTAGCTGTAGGGAGATCTCTGAGAGCTGGAACCATATGGGACTGGGTGGGTTTCTGAGATCTGAAGGATGTCCTTGATTCTGGACCAACAGAGGGATCAGCGAGGGAAGCCTCTGGACAGGGGATCACTGTGACAGTAAGAATCAGAAGCAGACCTTAACGAGGTGTGTTTCTGTCTGAACAAGCCTCTGTCTGGTGACAGCAGAGGTATCTACTGGGGGAATATGGAGTGAAAGGATTGATTGACCATAGAAGCTAAGAAGAGTTCAAGGGGAAATGAGAAGCTGTGGGAGGTTTAAAAGCAGAGAGTGACTCAAGAAGTGTGCTTAAGGGAGATTAGCCTTCCTCAGACAGTGCTGGACAGGAGTGTGGTGATGGAATTTTTCAGCCATCAGTACCTCTGGTGTGTTACACAAAGCTGGGGGCGAGAGTCTTCAGGAACATGTACTGTTTCTGCCCATTCTAGGGCCTGAGGGTGCAAGGAAGAACAAAGCAGCATCTCTGTCCTCAAGCAGCTGTCAACTGCAGGGAGATACGACAGCAACCTAAAACAATAACCTCTGCTCTCTATCCTATTCTGGCAGTTAGTCACCAAAGGTAGGACAGCAGCAAGTAAGAGTGTTAAGAGACTTCTGAGAGCTTGAGCTACAGGTGGTCTTGAACTGTACCCTAAGCTGGAAAGGAGGGGTCTGAGCAAAAGAGCTGTGGGGCACAGGCATTTAGGAAGGGGGAGCAGGAATGGCACGTCTAGCCCACAGTGAGTTACACTCTGCTCATCTGAAGAGGGTGTCAAGGTGCCCTGGAAAAGGAGCTCTAAGTTTCAGAACGAGTTTGAGCTCTGGAGCCTACCCTCTCCATTCCCACTGCCAATGCCTTAGCTCAGCCCCTCATCATCTCTCACGCAGACAGTTACAAGTCTCCTACCTGTCTCCCTGCCCTCAGTATCACCTGCTCCAACCTACTATCCAACCTATCATGCTGGAGTGATCTTCCTAAAACCTGAAAATGGCTATGCCACAGCTCTGCTTCCAGCTCCTCAAAGGCTCCTCACAGGATAAAGTGAGGTATGAGAAATGAACAAAGGATTCCTGAGAGCAGGGGTTGCATGCTATGCCCTCAGCATTGAGCACAGTGCCTGGCACATGTTAGAAGCTCAATAAAAATTGTTGTATAAATGCAGGCACTTTGTGAATCCGGCCCTGATCCACCTCTCTAATCTCATGTGTCATTCTCTCCCCTTGTGAACCCTATATTCCTGATGAACTGAGTTATTTGAAAGACTGTGTTTTTGAATATACTTTGTCCTATTTGATCACTTGTTCATATATTAATTTAATACATTATTAAATATTATCTTTAGGATACATTTTCCCTACATTTTTATTTCATGAGCTCCTGCTCACCTTCAAGTCTTAGCTCAATCATTATCTCAGGCTTGGTTCAACAAGCATTTATGCCAAGTGGCAATCACTGAATGCAAAGATAAAGAACACAAATTATTTTGCTATAAAACCTTTATA